GTCAGGGACTGTTGCTTGTTTAACTTTGTTTGTTGTGCTGGTGCTGCGGCTATTTTCATTTCGCCGGGAGCGGCACTTCTCCCACTCCGCTGCGTGCCTCTGCTTTACGTGTTGGAATAAATTAGTCGCACTGCTTCCTTTGGTTGCACCAGTTTTTAAAGTCTTTGCAACGAGGACTTGTTTGGTCTGTGTCCGACGGCGCAAAACCGAACCAATTCCATATTACAGATGTAGCAACACCTTTCTTGGGCACAAGCGCCAGCTTTTCCCCTGTCATTGCCATGTTGTTAGTGAATCTNCATTTAATAGTTGAGCCCCAGTTGGGGGACGGACAGGGTGCATGTAAGCGGGTGGTTGCTTACGATGGACCCGGATTGGCCAGTGCATTTCTGTGGCCCTGGGACGCTGGGGTCACAGGCCTTGGGGTTCCTAACCCCTATCTATATCCCTAACCGTAACCCTAACCTCACTATATAAAGAGCAGTTGCTCCCATCTTGTTGCAGATGTATAGCAGACACTTCTCGGAGTTGATCCCCGGGAGAGCCGGTTTGTGCTTCATGGCCACAGTAAATGCACCTGTTCCGATGACACGGTCAGTGACCCCTCCTGGGCAGATAATATAGAAGATATAGTTACGGGCAGAAGTCCCCTCTTGGAAAAATGTTTCTTGTACTTACCGGACAGTGGAAGCGGCTGCTCCTGTTCCGATGACACGGTCAGTGACCCCTCCTGGGAGAATATATAGGATCTATAGTGAATCTACGGGCAGAAGTCCCCTCTTGGATAAATGTTCTAGAAAAAGTGAATTGTACTTACCAGACAGTGAAAGCATACTTACCTGTTGGCGTAGTTGCCTCTCCGTGCCTCCTCCCGCATGGACAAAGCCTAGTGGGCGTCCTTCAATTTTTTCGCCGGTTTCCTGAAGAGGGCAAGGCAGCCCGAAACGCGTAGAAGCCTAACTTAGCTTAAAGGCCAGTGGCCATATTCAAAAGCCCAGAGGGCATTCAGCCAGAAGTCCAGTGGACATAATTTTTAGCAGCGATGACAGGGGTTTGGAAGCAAAAGGGTGGGCATCCGATGGCGTGTTGTAGGCCAGTGCATTCTCGGGGTCAGTTCCCTAACCCTAAACCACAACCCTATCCCCAAACTTAACTTAGCTTCCGTGGAGGAAGCCTAGGGGCCCCATCCCTAACCCCAAACCCTTTCCCTAACCCTAAACCACTGACCTCACCTCTAACCCTAACCCCTAACCATAACCCCTAACCATAACCCTAACCATAATTTGGAGTGTCATTGTACCCCCTATAAAAGGACGTCCCCATGCTGCAGCCTCATTCATTTCCCTCTGATCCTTGAGGAGGAAGGATGTGCTTTGTGGTATGGGAGGAATTGGATGAATCGGGACTATGGTGATTGTGGATGGATTTTGATTGACCTCTGGGGGGGGATTGCGGCGCCGGGTGGTGCCTCCGGGGGGCCCGAGGAGTTCGCGGCCATACCNTCGCCTTTGGTTATGTCTTCTGCTGTCTTGTCCCAGTGTTTGTCCGCAGTCCCGTCAGATTGTGTTGCCTGGTCGCCTTTGGTTGTGTCTTCTGCCGTCACGTCCCCGTCTTTGTCTGCAGTCCCGTCAGTCTGTGTCGAGTGGTCACTTTCGGTTGCATCTATTGTAATAACGACTCTATCTGAGTCCATGTCATACACAATTGTGCTTGTTGTTAGATCAATGACATTTGGTTCTGGTACTTCCAAATCACTGTCACTATCAGTGAGGTGACACCTCACTCTACGCCACTTTCTTTTTTGAACAAACATCTCTTCGTCTGAGTCACTCTCACTGTGGGGTCTCCCCCTCTTCTGGCCCTTAGATGTTCCCTCACTTCCTCTGTCCTCCACATCATCTTCTGACAATGTGCAAGACTGCTCAGCATTCTTTGACAAGGCTTCTTCTGTATCATTCCTACTTTGAAAAGCTTCATTAAAATTCAAATCCGCCACATAAAACTTTTCGGCCGTTGCACCAGAATGGCACATCATCCTTCGAATGTTGGCCGTCTTCTGGGTCGCCAGAGATCTGCTGACCTATATTAAAAACGTGCAAGTTTTACTTAATTTAACAACAGACATTCTCAATTAAAAAGCAAAAACAAAACTGTTTGCAAGAACAAATTATTATTTCTTTATTTTAATTTTAAAGTGAACCCAGTTTGTTGTCATCTGGCTTTCTGCCTTTTCCTTGTTGATGTATTGAATCACGATGCACCCATGCAAAGCATTTTGGGGCGACTATGTTGTGAAAGGTGCTATATAAAAATATTATGAACTTACAATGGTGCTGATGCTGCTTCGTATAAGCTGAAAGGTTGGGAATCCAGGCAGGCCAAACTCCTTCCAGCACTCTTGGAAATGTTTCAGTATGTCATTGCAAGCACCACCATTGGAGTTGGCAAAGACCAACTCTGAGTCCCCACATGGGAATTCATGCCGGTGATAAACAAACCGGTAGAGCCATATGAACTCACTTTTTGTGAGCGGAATGAGGGCGTGGCCAAATGTTTCTTTTGTTTTATGCTCCTTTACCTGTGAAACAAAATAAATGGTCTGTCAAAGTGTGTGTGTTTGTGTGTGTGTGTGGTGAACAAATTCTTACTCTGATTATCCGTCGCTCTTGATTGTCAATCTCAGCACTGTACACCTCCTCCAACGTCATATTTCTGATGACCCCTCTCCGGTGCCCAGTCATACAGATAATAAAACCGGCAAGGAGACCATAGAACCGGTATAGGTTTTCAGTTGTTGGATGTTTCTCAAGTTCAACTGCAGATTAAAACAGAAGTTGAGGAGACATGCACTACTTGGGGGGGCAGGTTACTATAATCTTTCCTCTAGGCCAGGGCTATTCAAATCATGGTCCCCAAGGCCCTGCTGATTTTCCAATCTTCTGTTAACTTTGAGCCAGATGTGAAGCCTCCAGTCAATCGGAAATTGGAAATTATTAAACTACTCGGAAGAACTGAAAACAAGGCCTAGATTTCCAGATTTGATGAGCACTGCCCTACACACTTACGGAGGGCTGCTGGGGTCTCCTTAGTAGCCTTCTTTAGGAAGGTGGTGATGTGGGCAGAGCTCACAAGCAGTTCTAAAAGAGAATGCAATGTTATGTTCCTTGAGCCCCTTAACACATTTTGTAGTCTGGCTCATGGTACACCTAAGCAAACACAATCGGTGCTCTGTTTCATCTAAAGCAGGGGTGTCAAACTCCAGTCCTGGAGGGCCAAAGCCCACTGTAGCTTAGTTCTTTCCCTTTTCCACCACAAATGATTCAGCTCAGGAGCTGTGTGGTAATTAGCACAAGGAGGTGCAAGAAGTTGAATCAGGTGTGTTAAATGAGGGGAAACGCAAAAATGTGCAGGACTCTGACCCTCCAGGACTGGAGTTTGACACCCCTGAGCTAAAGCATAGTGCCAGTAAAAGTTCAGTCGGGTATGCAGAGCAGAGATAAGGAAAATGTGTAGAACCTCAAAACAGATTTAATACCCATTATCGTAGACCACTGGTTTAAATTTGTTCATGTTGGATTACTGACTACCAGGCAGTCAAAATAGCCAAAGATCTCCAAAACCTTATTGAGAAGCAACCACACACACCGTTTTGAAAAGAAAGTAGAATATTTTGGGAAGCATTAGTGATTTGTATTGTATTGATGATTGGAACGCTTTAGTGATTTCTATAGCACACTTGGAAGAGCTAGAGATTTCAATGCAAATATTGGAAGGGATAGTCATTTGTATCAGGTTACTGGAATTAAGCATGTGAAACTTACTTGATTTATGGATCCGCACCTCTTGCCTGTGTGNCCCCAATCCTTATCCTAACCCTAAAACCCCTTTCCCTGACCCCAACTCCCAAACCTAACTTTGCCCGTGCCACCATGCCATCATACGGTGCCCGCCCGCCTCCCCCCATCCCCTTGGAAACATCAGTTAGCTGCACAAGATTTAAACAAATACAACAACAAAAAAAGTTTACTTACCTGGACACACTTACCTCTGGAACACAGGAACACCTAAAAAAGGAAAAATAAGGAAGGATTAATCACCATTATGGGAAGTATCATACCCCAAAAAATATTTAGAAATTTAAGCGGCAGTTGCCGAGCAGGGGGCGGGGCTTCCCCCACTAACTATATAAGGACCTGCAGTGCAGACATTCATTTGAACGGCCGGAGCCGACAGTGCAACACCTAAAGCCTAGTGGGCAATATTTAAAGCACAGATGTATTTGAGGCCTAGAGGGCATTGAGCATGGGATCAAGGCCTAAGGGGCATCCCATTGATAAAAATTAGAGTATTTTCGCCAGTTTCCTGATGAGGGCAAGGCAGCCCGAAACGCGTCGAAACTTGACCAGTTCCGCGACCTTTAAAGCCCAGTGGGCATATTATAAACCCCAGTGAGGGATATTCTGAGGCCTAGTAAGGCACATTTGAATTGTGAAGGGTCCCACAATTCATAAGGCCCAGTGGGCAATTTATAAAACCTAGTGAGGTATTTCTAAGGCCTAGTAAGGCAACTTTAAATGGATGACTGGATGGATGGTTCCTTATTGTCTTTATGTCGTGGAGACATATCAAGCCCTAGTGGGGAAATAAAATCTGAAAGCCTAGTTGGCAACAATTAATTAAAGTGTCCTACCTACATTTACTTACCAAAAAGTCCTGGAGACGCCATAAAAAAAACCCTGGAAGGGAAAGGAAAGAAAGGTATTAGTTAAGGCCCAGTGGGCAAAATTAAAACATTTTTGGCAGCGATGCCAGGGGATGAGATGCAAAGGGGTGGGCACTAGATGGTATGAAGTAGGCCAGTGCCTCCTTGGGGTCATTCCCTAACCATAAACCCCCATCCCAGCCCTAACCCCAATTCCAAATCCCCTGCCCTAACCCTAAATCCACTGCCCCAACCCCAATCCTTATCCTAACCCTAAAACCCCTTTCCCTGACCNAGGGGGATGATTGTCATAAAATAGATTTATACATTGGTGTGACTTACTTTTAGCCTTTTTGGTTGAGGGGGGCGCTTGGGTCTCAGATGCGGGGGGGCATCATCTTCAGCAGGAATATCAAGACACAATTCCCATCACCATTCAATTTTATCAGCTATACTTTGTCACATTTATCAGGGGGACGACTGTCTTAAAATACAGTTTTGCATGTGTATATATCCAAGACAATACATTGGTGTAACTTACTTTCACTCTCTTCGGGTGAGACAGGCTGGGTCGTGTCGAGATCATCGTCGGCGGGAATATCAAGACATATTCCCATAATTTTGACAATCATCATCACCATTCAATTTTATCAGCTATATTTTGTCACTTACATGTGTCACATTCATCAGGGGGACGACTGTCTTAAAATACAGTTTTGCATGTGTATATATCCAAGACAATACATTGGTGTGACTTACTTTCACTCTCTTCGGGTGAGACAGGCTGGGTTGTGCCAAGATCATCATCAGCTGGAATATCAAGACATACACCCATAATTTTGACAATCCCCATCACCATTCAATTTTATCAGCTATATTTTGTCACTTACATGTGTGTCGTAACTCATTTAGAGTATTATCTGAAAATAGACTGAAATTGACGTCAAACTCATCTTCCATTGTGATTCCTACCACAAAAAGAAGCATTAATACTGTCAATGAAGGCTGCACACATGTCACTTCACAGTCTACTTTGGCCATGCATCTTGTTTATCTGTGTCAAATTTCAGACCTGTAGCTAACAGGGGTCAGACATGAGACACCCCCGTCCTCAAGTGACCTCACCCCTTTTCCCCTCTTCGTTTGTTTGTTTTAGGCCATAAGTTAATGCATAAAATAGGGAATAATATTTTTTCTCTGCAATGCCTCCCAATGCATCTCAATGGACCGACTAGAGAGTAGTATTTTTTATTTGGAACGGCGCGGCCTACATACTGCATTGCAGCCACTCATGATAAAAAACCTGCTGGTTTCAAATGAAGGAGGCATAATCTTAACGGACATGTGTAGATTTTTTAATGTTCCGTGTTTTAAGCTCAGTATGGGTACGATTGGGAGCCCTCGTAGGATTATAACAGAACGAAAAGTTCACAAAAAGTTTGCTCACAACAGTCGGACCACAAGCAAGGTAGCCTACATGATACGCAGAAAACTGCGATGCGTCGGGGAAAATCCGCGTGGGGGGCGATAGCAGAAACCGCGATATAGTGGGGGATCACTGTAGTTTAAAAACCTTAAATAATTTAATTTATCCTCCCGAATCTCATGACCATAATCAACCAGTAGTACAAAGTAGAACATTAAAATAGTAATAAATTGAAATCTAAAGTGTACTTGCAACAGCAGTTCCCAGTTTAGAAAGCTTGCGACAAACAGTCTGAATATGATACTTTGTAAATATCCATCAAACAAAACGTGTTTATTTTGCGACACAATACACAGCATTTCAATCAATAGCAAAAGGCAAAAATGTACAATTAATAAAACAAATACATAGGCAGTGCATCCGCAATCAACAGAAGTACGGGAATGTAACGTTTACACACAATTATACACTGGAAATAAACTGGATTGTAAATAACATGCATACACATGCATGCGCACCGCCATTATTATCTTCATTAGCTAAGCAAACATTTCTCAGTCACCGTATTGTACGGGTGCAGTGTTTCGGTGGCGTTTAAAGATTCCAGTCTAATCATCTCACTCTGAGATAAACAGTGACGTGGCTTAAAATTTAGTTTAGAAGATTAAATGCGACTAAAAAAGGTTTTACTTACGAAACGAGGCACAGTAGTCTTCCAGCCTGCTTTACCTCTGGACACGTAAACAGCCTTCCCACGTGTTTCCACGAAAAAGTATCCCGCCCACCCTGCCCTAATATGATTGCTGACGCAACCCCTCAATTGACAGCCAAGCACAGGAGCCTTTCAGTTTCAAAGTACAGTGATCCCCGCCTATCGTGGAAGTTACGCTCCCATCAGCGATAGGTGGAAATCCGCGATATACCATATGAATATGTGTGTGTGTGTGTGTGTGTGTGTATGTATGTATGTATATTGCGGGGGATATCCCTGTAGTTTAAAAACCTTAAATAATTTAAAGTATCCTCACTAACATGGATTATCTCATCACCGTAATCAACCAGTAATATAAAGTAGAACATTCAAGTACTGATAAATTGAAATCTAAATTATAATTCCAAGAGCAGTTCCCAGTTTAAAAAGCTTTAAGCAAAGTTTTAAACAAGCAGTCTGAATATGATACTTTGTAAGTAGCCATCAAACAAAANGCAAATATTGGAAGGGATAGTCATTTGTATCAGGTTACTGGAATTAAGCATGTGAAACTTACTTGATTTATGGATCCGCACCTCTTGCCTGTGTGTCTGCAAATCACGTTTTTGTTTTTTTGCCTCTGCCTGCAGTGTAAACAAAGCTCCCTGCAAGTACTTGCGAGGAGCTTTGACCTCTGGCAGTTGCGCATCAATTAAGAACTTTAAAAAGCACCCCACATTTCCTATGCGGATCCGACGGCTTGTCACAGCCAGCCGCTCAAGACTGTGTGTCCATCTAATGGGGAAACGACATAAAGCACCCACTCAATATTCCATTGTTAAATAATATATAACAGAAACATAATAGAAGTCACTCACTGAATTAGCTTCTCTCTTTTTTCTAAAAATGAAAGTGTCAACGAAGGCACTTGATTGTCCGTCATGTAATATGTCCAGGAGCGGACATGCTGGACACGCTGTTTGGCATTGTCAAGTTGTTTTTTTCCATCACTACTAATGTGCTGAAACCACAGGTTCAGGACCTTTTCTGTATCAGATAAAGAAATAAAGGAAGATTGGCAGAGGGGCTAAATATAAAGTCATCGGATCTAATGACACCTATGTGCCAAAGTCTATAGCACACAATTCGTACCAAATGCAGGGAGGTTGGCTGGATGGTTCATCTGCCGCTCATATTTCTTCCGTTTGGAAGATGGGGGTGATGGTCGTTGTTGGGTATTTTTGCCCCTCAAATATTTTAATTTTAGATTGCGGATTTTTAAGTGCAGTTGCTGGCATTGTCGGCACTGGTGTGGGATGCTAGGTTTCCTCATCTGCTGTGGAGCTTCATTTTCACTTTCATTGTTGGTTCCTCCATCCTCCTCCTCCTCCTCCTCCTCACCACTGCTAGGTACCAGTGCTGACCTTACATCCAGCAGACTGACCATCGGAGGCTGGGGATCCGAGCGTCTAAGGTCAGCCAGGGCTTTTAAATTAGCCAGCTGTTTAGCCTTCCACATCACAAGCTGTTGTTGTTCTTTCTGGAATGGCATGTAAATATGGCAGCAATGCCAATACATTTTTATACAGCACCTTTCAAAACATAGTCACTCCAAGGCATGTTACATGGGTGTTTTGTGATGCTTTACTACATCATAGGGACAATACAAAACAGCAAAAAAAAAAAAAGAAACAGATGACATCTACATTCAATAAACTCCATAAATATGCATCACTAGGAGCACAGACAAGCAAATTTAAAACCATAACCTTTAAATATTTTATTTTTGTTTATTTGTGGGTGAATCTGTTCTAGTAGACCCATCAGATGGGAGGAAAAGGCATAGGTCCCTTTAAACCATGAACACTGACTGACCTCAACATTAGTGTGGACATTTTGCAGGTGCTTATCCAGCCTTGCAAGGTTTCTCATCTTGCAGACTGGACAGTTCAGCCTGCCTCTGAAACTAAAAGAATCCAGAATGAATCCACAAAGCACTAATTTGGGGAAGCTGGTGGTGCAGGAGGTAATGCTATCGTACGCCAACTAGAGGGTTGCTGGTTTGAGCCCTGGTTCCTCCTGTCCCCATCAAAGCGTCCTTGAGCAAGACACTGAACCCCAAATTGCTACCGGTGTGCAGGTTGGTGCCTTGCATGGCAGCCTCTGCCACTGGTGTGTGAATGTGAGGTGTAAAATTGTAAAGCGCTTTGGTACCCGTAAGAGTAGAAAAAACCTCTATATAAATGCAGTCCATTTAGAATTTCATGGATCACCATCGCAATATATACCAACATACTTACACTGAACAGGTGTATCTTAGTAGTAGTTGTAGTTCTGTTTTGTTTGTGACATGGTGGTATTTTATTAAATGTTGTCGAACAGCAACATATGGCACCTTGCAGATAGGGCATTTGTATGTCTCCTTGGGGGCCATTTCTCCTATGGGAACAGGCAAAAGTATTGCTAAAATTAGGTACATTCTGGGAATGTCTGGCAATGCCTTAAGGGAACAAGGTGCAAATACATGGACCTGGAACAGTTTACAGACAAACAAATCACCTAGAGATACTAATACCAATTATCCATGAGATGTCATTTAAATGCAACAACACCAAATAGCCTCTATGATGCAATAAGTAATTATTTGTAATTACCTTCACTGTAGATATACAACAAGCCCAGTACTTATGGAACAAAAGCATATATATACTGTAGAGCGCAGACATTTCATACAATGTGTGTCAGTGATTTGTATTCATTCATAGGAACACAGTGATTTCTATGGCACACTTGAAAGATTTATAGATTAAAATGCAAATATTGGAAGGGTTAGCAAATTGTATTTTGTGAGTGGAATACTTAGAATATCAACATTGTAAACATACAATGAGACTCTCAAGTGCCAAGCCACATAGAACAGTATGAAATACCAGTGGAGTCCAGTTAGATTATGTGAGAAAGAATGTTTAACTCCCATTACCTCAATTCCAAGAGTCCTTTACATAGAAGTCCGATGGGGACATGCAAAATTTCCTCAGCCTAGTCCGTATATTTTCGAGCGTAAAACTGCGCTCTCTTGTGGCTCTCAGTAAATTGGGTGTTTTTCTGAGTACACGTTTAATCTGTGGATAAAGTTTTGAAAAAATCAAACAATACCTTAGCTCTGTAATGCTGTAATTCACATGCATTTTAGAAATTGCACATACATGTTTTACACCATATACACTGCAGGACTGTCACGTGCATCGAGTGGCTTTACGAGAGACTTAAATTTATACGCATATGCCTTCCACAACATAGTTTCCCAAAGACGCTTTACGTGGGTGTTGTGATACATAAGAGAATACAACACCCAAGACAAATGAAAGATGGAATGCCAGATGACAAGGGAGGAAAAAAACCTCTGGAGATCCAAGGTCAACTGGCTGCTCAACCACCCTATACATGCTAACAATATTTAAAACAAAAGGAGTGGGCTTTCTTGCTTGCTAAAGGCAAAGAGTAAACTGATCAAAGCCAAAGTCCATCAATAAGTCTGTTCTCCATTCTGGACTGTGTAGTGTGGCAGATGGAAGGCTGCACCCATGTTACAGTTTGTAAGTCACATGCATGTTATCACCCAAGACAATTGAAGGGATTTTATTAAACTGATGCATTAAAAGCCAAAAGCATACCCTGTCACGTGTTATATATTTTTTCTTTAGATCTTTCTTGAAACACTTTTTAAGGAGTTTGTCAATTTCTGAGTCAAATTTCAGCTTTCGTCGTCTCCCCTATTTGGATGATTATGAAAAACAAAAATGGGTAAACACATTCTATTAGACTGCCAAATATCCTTTATCCACAATGTTTCCATCAATGACGATTGTAGAAAACAACTTTATTCTTTCACTTACTGGTAGTGGTGCCAGTGTTGGCAAATCCTCACTGGAGGAACTGCTGAACTCTGTAGTTTTACTATCCTAAATATTAATGACAACAGGATGATGGAGCTTGACTGCACTTTTATGAAGTATTTGCACTAAATGACAACATGCATGAGTGTTATTTAAATATGAGCTGCAATCTGAAATCAAAGCCTTTAAGAGGTTTCAAGATGTTAAAGCGGTGAGATGCAGACACACACAAGCTTTGCGCTCATACTCACAGATGGCTCCTCTTCAACTTTTCTATCTGATTCACTGGCCACAGAATCCTACAACCCGGTTTTAACTGTTAGAAGCATTTTCTATACATGCACAATGCTCATAAAAAGTCTTGAGGCTCTCACTTAACCCTCTGGAGTCTGAGGCCTCTCAGCCACTTTCGAGATAGTCTGACATGCCTTGACATTTTTAAATATTTCACCTATCTAAAAAACATTTATTGAAAGTGTTACATTTGCTTTTATTCAGCACAAACTCAGCACCAATAATCCGAGACCACTTAGAATGTTATTAATCTATTTTTTGTTAAAATCATCTTTAAACATATGCTTTTCAAAAACCTATTTTCAGACATGCTGAGAAATTGTAAAAATCACATTATAGACATTTCTAGCCAAGACTTTTGAGCTCTGAAGCTTATAGACACAGGGGTTGGCTACACATAGGTGAAAGAGACATTCTGAAATTTTATGTGGTTTGATTACTAAAGTGTTAGAACATTAGAGTGACACTCTTTCACAAAGTGACACTCAGTCAGTGGCTTGTACAATGAATATTGATGAGACAGGTGTCCCCACACCTGTAATAGTTTGCATACTGTCAATGGCCCATCAGTCTGGAATGTCACTGCACTCTACACCCATCACTTTGGAAAGGCAATAAAATCCCCTCCAGAGTTTTTTTTTTTTTTTTTTTATTGCCCACTCTGCCCTCCAGAGTTTATTGGTAGATGGAATAAAAAATGAAAAATCGTGACCATATAAATATGATGCAGTGCCTATGCAGAGTTAACCCTCTGGAGCCTAGGGGTAGGAAACATACTTTCACTGACTGGGGCATGATCACACATTTCTTCAAATATCAAAAACTTAATTCATGGCAAATAAATTATTTTTTTTATATTTGTTTTGCCATTACACTC